AACCCAGGAAGGAGGAGGGGGATTTTTTTTTTAAGTAAAAAAAATAAGCATTGCCAAATTAGAATTGCAGTTTGACACTATAACGGAAGCTCTTGAAATATGTCCTAATTTTGTAAGGCTGAACTGCTGGTAAATATGAAAAATTTGTAATATATGTGAAGCCTTAATGGCTTTGAAGTAGTGAATAGTTTTTGAAAAGGGAAAATTTAAATCAAAATTCAAGGGTGTTTTTTTGAAAAAAATATTACAATTTGATGATAAGATTTTAATAATTAATAATTTTAGAATATTTATAATCTTTACCACTTATTGTAAAATATTTTTTTTTGACTACCCCAATGTTAGTGTAATTGCCCCGCAAGTGTAAATCAATTCAACTCATAATTCTTTTAAATAATATCTATTTTAACACATAGACTTATTCAATTTTGAGTCAATTTACCTCCCATTGTCTGTTGTTGTCTAATAATTAAATAGAAGTTGTTTGAGTGGCACGAGCTTCATTTGAAATTTTATTTTACCCCCAAAGTTGTCCTTCAAAATGGCCAATTCAAATCCTTGAATATATAAAGAAAAAATTAAAATTTAAATATCTAATAATAATTATATCGTTTCAAGTATTGTTTTTTTTAAATCGAAATTATCTGAGGATAAACTATCTTATAATTGCTAGGAAAGCAGAGAGAGATCTGCGAAATTTGTGGGCTCTAGGTCTGATTCAAGTAATTTGAGCTAAAAAGCAAAATCTTTAAATGAGGTGTATTTCTTGTAAGTTCATATTTAAATTTATTTTCCTTATTTTTTAAGATGAAAATATCATTAGATATTTAAATTTAATATTTTATTAAATATATTTAGGGTCTAATTATATTTTGAGATAGTTTGGGGACAGAAATAAAATTTTCAAATGAAATTTTAGTACACGTAATCAAACTTTCGTTTGATTATAGTTGGCAACTAACGGTGGAGGTAAATTGCATTCAAAATCAATAGTTGTGTAAAACTACGATATTATTAAAGAAAGGGATTAAACTTAATTTTTTTAAGTGAATAATTTTGGGGGTGCAAAGTGAAATTTTTCTCTATAAATTAATGACTTTTGAAATGTGAGATAAATGCATTTATTTGGCTGTTATTTGAAGTCGCTATTTGCTGTATGCTAAAGGCTATGTGAAGTCACTATTTGAAAATGTTGGAATGAATGAATTTCCCTTCTTACAAAGTGATAGTAAGTTGTCTATATTACTAAAAGTAGAACCTGCATTCTTTTGATTAATTTGTTTCCTCAATAATAACATTCATAGGCTAAAATTGATCTGATTGTTTGGAAGTTTGATTCTGAAAGATAGTTTAGATTATGAATACAGCTAGTTGATTTTGGTTCAAATTTTACTAATTTCTAACTTACATAGAAAGTTGATATACTCAACTTTAGTTCCAAAATTTCCATTTGAATTTTCCTTTCTTGGGTCGGAGTTTATTATGGAAACTTTGCTTTGGCAAAGATTCTCCTCGCTTTTTTTCGTCAATTTTTTTTTTTTATAAAATTCGGTATTCGGTTAATTAAACGTGACTAATACCAATTAAAGCTAAGATAGAGCTTTCGTATATATACGACTAAGTTACAAAAAAATTGTTAGCACCTAAAAAGTTTCAAAACCAGAGACTTTGGAGGGAGTAAAATGTTGTTTCTCAGATTTTGTCGAACATCATCAACTTTTTCAATTGTTCTTTACCTTCTTGTTATTGCCTATATCTTAATAATTTCTCTCTGATTTCATCATTGTGGTTTTTTATTATAATAATTATGGTAGAAATTAAATGTTTTAAAAGTGACATATACATGTATGAGCAGTCTATCAAAATATGAGATTTTTGATACTTTATTAAAATTGACATTAAACGAATTGAAATATCACGATCTATATAAAATTTCTTCTTCTGAAATTAACTTGCTGAGCCCTTGCCGAACCCAAATCGGCCAAAACTTTCTCATATGGGTGGCTTTTGCCCGATAAGATGGAATTCTCTGCTTGCATTGTTACTCTATATGCAACAACCTAGCAAATTAACACATCAGCATATAAGTATAATAAAGGCATAACTTTTAAATCATATTAAAAACATATTGTTTATTATTATTTAACATGTAATGCCATACACATGCAAACTATAAGCAGTTTAATATCAAGAATGATACAACTTTTTTTTAAAAAACATACATCTGGCATACTGCAAGCAAGTTTAATATAAAAAATAAAACGTTTATTTTTCTTAAAATCTAAGGAAATCGGAATAGTTTAGTTTGAAGTATCCTTTGTCAATATATTTACTTCTTCGACAATGAATACGACGATATTTGTGACCTTATCGATTTCTCGAGCATAGATGATCAGGCGACATAGTTTTTGCGAATTTTTTTGAAAACAATCGTCAAACTATGAATCTCCAAAATGGACTAACCAGCAAAGTGTTCTAGTAACCGGCTCTTACACAATAGGAAAGACGATTGAATTTTGATCCTCTCTCTCCATATCCAGAGTGTTGTCTGTCACTAGAGATAGATGAACATCGTCGGGGATGGAAAAGTGTCGCTGGAATCCGGAGACACGACCCTCAGAAAGGAGGTCTTTCAAGTGTTTGGCCATTTTCACGGGGAATAAAGGGTTCACCAAAATGAAAGCGATAAACAAAAAGTAAGATTGCAAAGAAAAGAGAAGAAGACTTACGAGGAACAAGGGAGACGGGGGTAGACGGAGAAGAGTTGCAGAGAATGGGAGTCAGAGAAGGGATATCTGCTGGCGGTCCAAGAGTCTCGAATACTCGATGAACTGTGCATTCGAAAGGACTAAAATTTCAAATCACAATAAATGTGAGACGCAAGGTTGAGGTGGGAAAGCGTAATGATGAACGAAAAGGTGTGCGCATCCTGACATCTATATTGGGGTACGCGAAACCGCCTGACCTATTTTAACCTTTCCAATTCAAGACCGAACACACCGATTAACTTCCGTCAATGGGGAGTTCGGGGGGCAATTGTGGGGGCCGAATAATGGAAAGATCAGATGGTGTGTATCTTTGAAAGTCTGATATTAATCGGCTATATCCTACGAGAGCGGGGAGCCGAATAAAATATATGTGCCGAATAAAGTATAAGCACTTAGGGCCGAATAAAGGAAAGGATAATGATTAAAAAGTAGGCCCTGGCCCCGAGGATCAAGAAGAACCAATTGTGGGGGCCGAATAATGGAAAGATCAGATGGTGTGTATCTTTGAAAGACTGATATTAATCGGCTATATCCTACGAGAGCGGGGAGCTGAATAAAATATATGTACCGAATAAAGTATAAGCACTTAGGGCCGAATAAAGGAAAGGATAATGATTAAAAAGTAGGCCCTGGCCCCGAGGATCAAGAAGAACAGGTATAAATACAGGAACAACGGTTATAGAAAGGTATGTAAGAATCACTTCACAAAACTGGTAAATGGGCTATCCTGAGCGTCTGAACTAACTTGTCCGTCGGAGTGCTAATTCCTGCACTCCTGACTGGAGTGTTTATTTATTTTCAGGTGACTAGCTGAGGATCACTAGCGTCTCCCAAGATCCAAAGAGTATTTACAAACCACTTCCCCACAGTGTCAATTTGGAAAGATGTTGCAATTAGGACATATGATTACTTGATTTTATTTTTATTTTAAATTCGTGTATCCATGTCATAGATTCAGGATTTAAAATTTATAAATGTATACCGCATATGTCATCTTTTGTACGATCAAGATTATGAATGGAATATAAGATATGAGTTTATTAATTATTTATAAGAAATATTACGAGATGGGATATTATTATTTATTTTGGAGCGTTATATAAGGATTACTATCGTAATTTTCTCAAAAATAAATAAGTCAATATAATTTGTAACGATTGATTTCTAAATTCATACACAAGAATGTGCAAAAGTAAATTAATTAAAAACTAATTCTATTCAAGTATAACACACTTTCGGCCTCCGTTTTTTTACTCTCCAATCCCACTACAGGAAAATGTCTAATTCAATATTAAAAATGAAATTTGTAAAACAAAATAATCGGAAGGAACAGAGCAGACCGGAGTGGAAAAAGAGTCTAGCAAGTACAATCATGTATGGCAACAATGGTCACTAAAAGAGGGCGAAGTCAGGGAAGAGTCTCCTAGAGATTGGCTTTCCTCCCATTGGTGATCGGATTAAAGGGTGTTATTAGATCTATAGAGGTTTATCACTGGTTTCATTTTGATAATTTGAACCGTTAATATGTAAAACTCGTTAAGTATTATATGCTTGTAAAAAATTATGTTGATCAGATATCGATAGCTATTTCATCGGATCACATTTCTATCAATCATTTATTTTTTCACTTTTCATTTTTCATTTTTTTATACAAAACTAAATTAATCATATAGCTATCGATATCCGATCAATGTGATTTTGTGTGTAAATATATTACTCGGCGAGTTCTACACATTTACCGGTTCAGATTATCAAAACAAGACCCGTGATAAATCTCTACAAGTCCAATAACACCCTCCAATACGGGTACAAAAATGCTTTCTACCCCCACTGGGGGTCGACCCCCAGTGAGGTGTCACTCCGGGATTGGCCCAAAAAAAACAGTTTTTTTTTTTTTTGTGTTTTCAGCGAATAGAGGGTCGCCACCTCACTGGGGGTCGACCCCCACTGGGTGTATATATCAGCGTTGAATACGGGTAATGATACATCCCACTAAAAGTGGTGCTTTAAAGCACCACTAATGAGTTGGCAAGCATTTAAAAAAAAAAAAAAACAAGACACAAGCAGTGGGCTCCGTCCATTGCCACATCACTAGTGGTGCTTTTAGAGTACTACTTTTAGTGGTCTCAAGCATTATTGTTTTAATTAATAAAAATTAAATTGTTGCATCATGTGTTATTGTCTTTGGAGCAATAAATAATTTTTCATAAAATACAGTAATTATATATCTAAAGGCTCTTTTTCGATCTAAGATTTGTGTAGCAAAACGAAAAGAAGAAATAAATAAATAAAATCAATCAAATAAACAACCTACTTGTGCTTAGAAAATGATAAAGAAAAAATTAATAGATATATAAAATAAAATAAAATAAAATAAAAAGTTTAACAGATGTGATTCACAAGCAACTTATTTAGTCCTTGGGTTGGAACAGAAACGGGAAGAAAAAATGAAAATGGTTTGCCTATGCATTTCCATGGGAAATATTCGTATTTTGTCGTTATTTTTTTTTATGGGAATCCAATAAGGAAAATTACGGCCGTGTTTGGTACAGTTTTCCAATCACAATTTCACCCCTTCACGTGAACAAACCATTTGGATGGAGTTTTCAAAAATTAATTTCACCACACATTTCAAAACACGTTTCTGTTTCACGTTTGGCAGAACTCCTTCCAAAACAAACTTCCCAACCAAAGCTTAATAACTCAGATTTTTAATTATTCTGTAAAATTTATACTAATATTATTTAATTACAGTTAGAAAAATATACGATTGATTTTGTATTATTATGTGTAATTTTATAAAATAATATAATTAGTAAAAATTTAAGGGTCAAAGTATAAATAAATAATAATAACAATAATAATAATAGATATGGTAGTAAAATAAATAATTAATTTTCTGTTGATATATAATAATGTATAATTTAATTATAAATTAATTTATATTAAAAAATTGAGTCAAAATATAATTACTTTAAATATTTATTATAAACAAGTATTAATCTTTATAATTTATTATCGAATATATGGGAGGATTCGCGCGGATAACGTTGTCACCTCCCTGTATAGCGAGGAGGTGATATGTGTGGAAGGAAAAGAAAGAAAGGGAAAGAAAGAAAGAAAAGAAAAAGGAAAAAGGAAAAAGGAAGACAAGGGAAAGAAAAGGAAGGAAAAAATAATAGAAATTGAGACTGTCTTTGGTGGTAGAAAAAAATGAGTGAGATATTAAAATTAAAGTGATTTATATTATATCTTGAGATATCATAATATATTTTATGTATATTTTTACTTATCATAATTTGTTTTATACAAGTTATGTTTTATAAATTATTATTAATTATATTAATGTTTCGATTACGTGCATTAATTTCTGAACTCTATTTGTTAAAATGAAATCCATGGATATGTTTGTTTATATTTTAAAGAATATTTGACTATAACCTTATATACAATTATGTTTTGTAAGTATTACCACGTGAGTTCCAAGTCTTGGGAGACTTAAATAACTATTGGCTCTGTTTGGTCACTTTGTGGCCCTCTATTGTCAAGGATCTATTGACCTCTGTTTTGTGCAGAACAAAGTGTTGTGCGGAGATAAGTGTTACACTATTGTGGGAGCCACCTCTATTGTTCATATAAACCACCTATTGAATCCGTACCTCTGTTCTGACTGTCACTGTTGTGACCTCTGTTCTGTTCTGTTCGGTATCGTGGTTATGGATATTTATTTACATAATCTCAGTTTTGCTACTTAAATGATTATTTGTTCAGACTAAGTTATCTTAAATATTTTAGTTACATAATTATCTATGATTATTTTGTGTCCCTTATACTCTTGGTATAATGTTTCTCACTCTGCCATGTGCTTATAGCTGTTTACCAATTTTCAGGAAACAATGCGATTCAGAAATAACTTTTGGAAAGTCTTAGATGCGGGGCTGCGGAATAGACACACACAACACTTTTATGATATTTTTATATATAAATATCGGCAATTTGGTCAATGAATTTTGTAATAGAAAATAGAAACTCCAATGATTATTTTGGTACCCTCACTTAAATATTACTTCCGCGTGCGTTTATTTATTTGTTCAAGAATTGGTCAGAGATAATTTTAGTTGCTGGCCATCACGATGCTCAACCCTTGAGCACGGGGAGCGGATCGTGACAAGTGGTATTAGAGTAATGGTTTATAAAAAAATAAATAAATCATCATTGGAGTATAGGACACACACATATTTAAGAAGTAAGATAGCGGGTAATTAGTACCTAAATATTATATTTTGTTAGTCGATTTAATTATATTATGATTATATATATATATATATATATATATTTTTGTGTTCCTAAATTGTGAAGGATATTAGATATAATTTATATTTGTTATAGTAAAAGACGGACAAGAAAAGAAGGATGTCGGGTTCAATCACCTACCAAAATTATAATATAATTAAATATATATAATTTTCAGTTCAGTATTCAAAAAAAAAATTTATTTTGATGTTTTTTTAAGTGGGTTCAAATTATAAAGATACTAATTTTGAAACTATTTCCCATCAATGAAAAGTTCATCTCAATTTTTTTTTCCAACTCTTACATATGATTCTGTTGTTGTGTTATCATTTTATTTATTTTTTATTTATGAAAAATATATAATTTATTATATATTATTATGTGTAATTTTGTAAAATAATATAATTATTAAAAGTTTATGAGTCAAAATATAAATAATAATAATAATAATAATAATAATAATAATAATAGATGTGATAGTAAAATAAATAATTAATTTTCTGTTAATATACGATAAAATGTAATTTAATTAGAGATTAATTTATATTAAAAAATTGAATCAAAATATAATTACTTTAAATATTTATTAAAAATAAATATAAATTTTTATAATTTATTATCGAATCTGTGGATGGATTCGCGCGGATAACGTTGTCACCTCCCTATAAATAGAGAGAGGAGGTGATATGTGTGGAAGGAAAAGAAAGAAAGGGAATGAAAGAAAGGAAAGAAAAGGAAAAGGAGGAGAGGAAGATAAGGGAAAGAAAGTAAGAGAAGGAAAGAAAAAATAGTAGAAATCGAGACGATTTTTGATAGTGGAAAGAAATAATGAGGTATTAAAGTTAAGGTAAGTTATATTATATCTTGAGTTATCATAATATATTTTATGTATGTTTTGATTTATCATAATTAATTTTATATAAGTTATGTTTTATAAATTATTATTAATTATATTAATATTTCGATTACCTGGATTAATTTCTGAATTCTATTTGTTAAAATGAACCTATGAATATGTTTGTTTATATTTTAAAGAATATTTGACTATAACCTTATATACAATTATGTTTTGTAAGTATCACCACGGGAGTCCCAAGCCTTGGGGGATTTAAATAATCATTGGCTCTGTTTGGTCACTTTGTGGCCTTCTATTGTCAAGGATCTATTGACCTCTGTTCTGTGCAGAGCAAAGTGTTGTGTGGAGATAAGTGTTACACTATTGTGGGAGCCACCTCTATTATTCATATGAACCACCTATTGAATCCGTGCCTCTGTTCTAACTGTCACTGTTGTGACCTCTATTCTGTTCTGTTCGGTACTGTGGTTATGGATATTTATTTACATAATCTCAGTTTTGCTACTTAAATGATTATTTGTTCAGACTAAGTTATCTTAAATATTTTAGTTACATAATTATCTATGATTATTTTGTATCCCTTATACTCTTGGTATAATGTTTCTCACTCTACCATGTGCTTATAGCTGTTTACCAATTTTCAGGAAACAATGCGATTCAGAAATAACTTTTGGAAAGTCTTAGATGCGGGGCTGAGGAATAGACACACACAGCACTTTTATGATATTTTTATATATAAATATCGGCATTTTGGTCAATGAATTTTGTAATAGAAAATAGAAGCTCCAATGGTTATTTTGGTACTCTCACTTAAATATTACTTCCACTCGCGTTTATTTATTTGTTCAAGAATTGGCTGAAGGTAATTTTAGTTACTGGCCATCACGATACTCAAATCTTGGGTACGAAGAGCAAGTCGTGACAAAAGCTCTCACATTTTCATACAGTTTTTGAATTTTTAAGTCTACTCAGTCGTCCCTCCGAACATCTTCTTGGATGTCTGGCCAGTTGACCGCTATAGTGCACTTTTTTTTATTTTTTTATTTTTTAATTTTTTAATTTTTTAATTTTTTTTTTTGTGTGTGTGGCAATTGCCAAGAGAAAGTGAAGAAGATAAGACATCAACATCAAGAAAGAAATTGATAAATTATGAGATTAATTATGAAGATGGTAAAGTTGTTGGTGGGTCAACCTCTGATATAAAAGTTGGTGGTTGAACAAATGATATAAATGACGACGTACATGAAGGAAGCATGTTTCACGAAATTGATGAAAATCAACAAATAAAAAAATTCGAATAAAATTGAATTGTGTCTGGTAAATTACATAGATGCTAATAAAATAATATTTTAATTTTTTTTTTTTTGACTCCCACATAGATAATACCTGATAAATTTTTTGGTCATTTATTTGAAAATAATAATACAATAAATAGCAAATAATTTGTGACAATAATTATTAAAAATATAAAAATATTTTAACTGAAAAATATTTTTAAAAAAATTCAAACCAAATATACGATAAAAATTTATTTTAAATCAACAATTGAATATTTATTTTGAAAAAAAAAATTATTTCCTTCGTAATATTTTCAATTAAAAAAATTGATTAATATTATTTTCTGTTAATAATTAATTTTTTTAATTGAATTTTAAAAAGAGTTTGCTTATGAGTATTGATCAGAATTTTCAATAGAGTTTTAAGTAGTATGTTTAGTTATGAGTTATGACAATTTGAATTAAGTTTTGAAAATTCTTTCCAAAACTCATAACCAAAGAAATTTTCTTATTTCACATGTATAACAAACATTAAGAATTCAATTCAACACTCAACTCAAAACTCTTTTTAAAACTCATAACAAAACAAATTTTTTATACTCAAATCATAATTCCAAAACTCACAAACTCAAAATATAACTCTATTCTAAAATTATATTTAGCAAACTTTATCAAACGCTGATTATATTTTCCTTAAAAATTCAAAAAACTAATGCAGCATAAAAAAGAAGAAAAAAAATGTGAGACTTAAGCTAATGAAAAGACAAGCAAATTATTTCATCTCAAGTTGAAAAAGTCGTATTTGCCCACAGGTCATCTATATATAGACCAGGAGGGCAAGGGCGGCAAACAAAGGAAACATGGTGGTCCAAAATGTTCTTCACATGAATGCAGACAATGGAGAAACTAGCTATGCCAATAACTCAACCCTTCAGGTCTCTCTCTCTCTCTCTCTCTCTCTCTCTGTCTCTCTCTCTCTCTCTGTGTTTTTATAAATAGGATAAATTCATCAAATGATAAATTTATTCATCTCTTTTATTTTTATAAATAAATTTACAGTAATAAATTTATCAATCAAAACCTGTAGATAAATAAGTCTAGTTAGTAGGACTAATTGGTAAGTATCCCTTTTAAATATCAATCAATATGTACCGTATTGGTCAATACATATCTGGTTTTTTCATTCTAACACCGATACATTCCAGTACATTCCGGTATATTGGTTGAAATGAAAATCACATGTGTATCGGTCAATTCCCAAAACGTATCAAGTTTCACACCTGATATGGCGAGTTCAATTGCTATAAAGCACTTTTTTGCGACTGTTAATTTTAAAAAACTCCTGACCGCGACAGTTGATTTTAGATGCATATCGTTTGATACTCTTCATAATATGACACCGCAATCAATACCGATATATGTCCAGATAGTACTATTTAAAATTATGATGCAAACCCTTGCATCACCTTTCACTACATCATATAAGTGTTTTACGGACCAAACTCTTTCATCTCTACAAGTGAAAATTTTGTTGGAAAAAATGACCTTAGCAACAAAATGAAAATGTCGCTAATAAATATAGTTTTAGAGATAAAATAATTTTGTGCCAAAAGATTTACTTTTTGAACAAAATTTTTGGTCCCAAAAAAATAGTAATTCATTATTAAATGTCTAATTTTGTCGCTAAAAATACAATAATGACATTTTTGGAAATTAAGATATTTCAACTCTTATTTTTTGCATCTAAAACCTTAATTTGTTGTAGTGTTTATCAACTCTTCCTTGTACACCAAAATCAACATTACTTAAAAAGAATAATACATCATTTTTATTTACTCATTCTTTTTATTTATTATGGCATCTAAACAATTTAATCATATGTTTATTCAGAAAACAGCAATATTGATGGCGAGGCCAGTTCTAGAAGACACCCTCAAGAAAGTGTACAACAATGATGCCTTCCCAAAACACCTAAAAATAGCAGATTTGGGTTGCTCTTCAGGACCAAACACATTCTTAGTCATCTCTCAAATAATTAACATCATTCATAATTTGATGCAACAAAACAATTGCAAAGCACCAGAGATTGAAATATGTTTAAATGATCTTCCCCAAAATGACTTCAACAACATTTTCAATTCGCTCCCAACATTCTATAAGAAGATCAAAACAGAGAAAGAAGAAAAGTTACACGGGACTTGCTTCGTATCAGGGGTGCCTGGTTCTTTTTATTGTAGGATTTTCCCAAGAAAGAGCTTGCACTTTGTTCATTCGTCTTATAGTGTTCACTGGCTATCTCAGGTTTGTGTTGTCTTTCTTGTATCAAACATATGCTCACAAAAATCAAGTATAAATCAAATTAAGGGTACTAAAGTGAAATAACATTTATCAACTTAGCTTATGATCAAACTAAATTAACTATTGAACTCCAAATTTAAACAAACAAAACATTCATAAAATTGTTACCATATCTTACTTTTTAATTTTTATTTATTGCGCGAGAGGTGTTGACATCACAACAAAATTAGTTAATCAACACGACATGTTAAGTAATTTTTTATTTTTATTTTTTATATTAATGATAGGTTCCTGAAAGACTGGAGAACAAGGGAAATATATACATGGCAAGGACGAGTCCACCGACAGTTTTTGAAGCATATTTAAAGCAATTTCAAATGGACTTCTCAACATTTCTAAGTTTGCGCTCTGAGGAAATTGTAGTTGGCGGGCCTATGATTTTAACGTTTCTCGGTAGGAGGATTGCAGATCCCACTGACAAAGATTGTTGCGGTTACTGAACCTTTGCTGGTTAGTCATTTTGGAGAATTCATAGTTGACGATGTTTTCAAAAAATTCGCAAACTATGTCGCTGATCATCTATGCTCAGAGAAATCCGATAAGGTCATCAATATCGTCGTTTCATTGTCGAAGAAGTAATATATTGACAAAGGAATGACTTCAAAATAAACTATTCCGATTTCCTTAGATTTTAAGAAAATAAATTGTTTTATTTTTTATATTAAACTTGCTTTTGCAGTATGCAGATGTATGTTTTAAAAAATAAGTTGTATCAGTTCTTGATATTAAACTGCTTATAGTTTGCATGTGTATGCATTACATGTTAAATAATAATAACATATGTTTGTAATATGATTTAAAAGTTATGCTTTATTTACATTAATATGTGATGTGTTAATTTGCTAGTTTGTTGCATATTAGAGTAACAATGCAAGAGAGAATTCCATCTAGCAAGCCACCCATAATGAGAAAGTTTTGGCATTTGGGTTCGGCAAGGGCTAGCAAGTAATTTTCAGAAGAAAATTTATAATAGATCGTGATATTTCAATCGTGTTAATGTCACATTTTAATAAAGTATCAAAATTTCATATTTTGATAGACTTGCTCAGTATGTATATGCCACTTTTAAAACGATTTAATTTCTACCATAAGATATAATAAAAAAACCACAATGATGAAATCAGAGAGAAATTATAAGATATAGCAATAACAAGAAGGTAAAGAACAATTGAAAAAGTTTGATGATGTTGACAAAATCTGAGAAAACAACATTTTACTCCCTCCAAAGTCTCTGGTTTGAAACTTTTTAGGTGCTAACAATTTTTTGGAATTAGTCTATATATACGAAGCTCTGTCTTAGCTTTAATTGGTATTAGTCAATTTAATTAACCGAATACCGAATTTAAAAAAAAAAAATTGACAAAAAAAGAGGAGAATTCTTTGCAAAGTAAAGTTCCATAATAAACTCGACACCAAGAAAGGAAGATTCAAATGAAATTTTGGAACTAAAGTTGAGTATATCAACTTTCTATGTAAGTTAGAAATAGTAAAATTTGAACCAAAATCAACTAGCTGTATTCATAAATCTAAACTATCTTTCAGAATCAACCTTCCAAACAATCAGATCAATTTTAGCCTATGAATGTTTTATGAGGAAACAAATTAATCAAAAGAATGCAGGTCTTACTTTTAGTAATCATAGACAACTTACTATCATTTGAAGAAGGGAAATTCATTCATTCACATTTCAAATAGTGACTTCACATAGCTTTAGCATACAGCAATAGTGTTCAAATAACAGCAAATAAATGCATTTATCTCACATTTCAAAAGTCATTAATTATAGAGAAAATTTCACTTTGCACCCCCAAATTATCACTTAAAAATTAAGTTAATCCCTATTCTTTTAATAATATTAGTTTTACACAAACTATTTGATTTTGAATGAATTTACCTCCACCGTTAGTTGCCAACTATAATCAAACGAAAGTTGATTACGTGGTACTAAAATTTCATTTGAAAATTTATTTTGTCCCCCAAACTATTCTCAAAATATCAATTAGACCCCTAAATATATTTATAAAAATATTAATTTAAATATCTAATGATAATTTTCATCTTAAAAAATAAGGAAAATAAATTTTAAATATGAACTTTACAAGAAATACACCTCATTTAAAGATTTTGCTTTTAAGTCTCAAATTACTTGAATCAGACCTAGAGCCCAAAATTTCGAGTCTACTCTCTCTTTCCTAGCAATTATAGATAGTTTATCTCTCAGATTAATTTCGATTTAAAAAACAATATTGAACGATATAATTATTATTAGATATTTAAATTTAATTTTTTTTATGTATTCAAGGATTTAATTGGCATTTTGAAGGACAATTTGGGGGTAAAATAAAATTTCAAATGAAGCTTCGGTGCCACGTCAACAACTTCTATTTAATTATAGACAACAACAGACAATGGGAGTAAAATTGACTCAAAATTGAATAGTCTATGTGTAAAATAGATATTATTAAAAGAATATGAGTTGAATTGATTTACACTTGGGGCAATTACACTAACATGGTAGTCAAAAAAAATATTTACAAATAAGTGGTAAAGATTATAAATATTAAAATTATAATTATAAATCTTATCATCAATATGTAATATTTTTTCAAAACACCCCTTGAATGATAATTTTCCCTTCAAACTATCACTACTCCAACCATTAAGGCTTCACATATATTACAATTTCATATTACCAGCAGTCAGCCTTACAAATAGACATATTCAGAGTTCCGTTATAGTTGGTCAAACTGCATTATTTGCATGTATACTTAAAAATAAGGGCATTCACAAAAGTAAATATATGTGCTGATAAATATTCACAAAAGTAAATATATAGTAGTAATAAATATCTACCCTGCCCCAAATCAAATCCCCAAACTCACAATACAAAAGAAGAAGAAATTAAAGTAAAGATACTAAGAAGATAGGCTTCATACGTGATGCAGGCATGTTTTCCCTCATCACAGCAGGTATATATACATGGCAGACTTGTTCAAAGTGAGGCACGGCGTTTTGGTTCAGAAGACATTGCTGAGAAATGGAACTCACAGCCACATTCAACACTTCTTTTGAACAACCTGGTCTCACAATCTTCTTCACCTGTGCAAGGACATGCACCACCAAGCTTATAGTCAGTCCATATTACGATCAAAATGCTAACTATGAAGTCTAGCGATCAAACCACTAAAAATTCAATGTCTAGTATTTCTTGTTTAAGCCTTCTATCCTTCAATGAATTATTCCAATTCAAACAATCCAACCTTCATCCACAGGCATTCAGGCAGTAAATCAACTAAACAGTTAGCCTCATGACAAGCATACTTTCATGTTAACGTTCACATACGTGCGAGATGCTAAAGCAAAAAACACTCACAGTGTACTCCAAGCCAAAACAAAGAACATGTTAGTAATCAAATGTATGATCCAAGTCCATGTTAAGATGGCTAATGCATCGCAGGCAAAATGCAGCTAGAATAGGCTCGGCTAATCTATAGATGGCATGTGAAATGCAACAGATAACATGTATTCAAGTTAGATTTTGAAATACTATGTGATTAGTATGATGTACCGAGCTGGGTGCATGCAATATAAATGAATGAATGTACACATGCATAGCATAAGGATGCTAATTGAAATATGCCCTAATACTAACCATCAAAAGCAGGTAAGTAAAAAGGAGAAAGAAGTGGGGGTTGGAAGACATGCATCACACACACGCACACTTATTACACAATTCGCCCTCTCTCGGAGGGACCAAAAAAATAATACAAATTTAACTAACTAACAAGCTAATTAAATAGTTACAGACCACTTAACTAGTTAAGCAAATTAACTAAGCTAATAAAGCGGTAAAACAGCCTCGGGAAGAGGGTCCAATGCATACGTGCTCGGCTTCGCTCAGAAATCCACCACCATGCACAAGCTGCCTCTGTTTACCCTGCTCTGCTCCTCTGAAAATTGTGCAAGTCTCAATGATGCTCCAGAATCACTTTTTGATCACTGTGGAAGGTCACTGACCAAGAGGAAACACCACTGGCCAGGGAAAACTGGTCATCGACCATTGGTATGGCCCTCGGCCAAAGATATTTAGTCGGCCGGCACTGAGAATGGTCAGTCGACCATATCTTTCTGCAGAATCCGTTTTGACAGCAGCAGAGGGCAAACAAGGCATGACAATGTATTTCAAAGCAAATGTTTGCACCACCACACTCCTTATCATATTCATGACTCAAAGGAGGACGGCCCTCGACCCTCGGGCCACCAATCACGCATTTCGATGCATGATGGCCCAAGAAATCAAGTTGTGCATTTTGGTGTCAAATGAAATGCAAACAAACACCTAAGGGGCCCAACCTCTATCATGGGGATTCAAGAGGCAAGACATGCATGCCAAATGTAACCTAAGCATGTAAGCTAAGCATGCAATATGAACATGAAGGCAAACATGCACACATGCAAGCATGTAACAACATATCAATGGCAAAACATGCAACAACATGCTAGGCAACTAAAAGAGAGAATGCATGCCAAATGCGTTACAACCTAAGCATGAAACAACATGCCATATAGCTCAAGCAATGCAACAAAATGCAATATAGCTAAGCATGTATCAATAATGCAAGCGATGAGCATGCAAAACACTATGCAACCAAAACATGCAAGCATGAAGCAATGTAACAACATTTGAACAACATGCAAACGGTGGACTTAAACTAATATGGACAAGCCTCAGCCGTGTCTAAATAAGTAGCCAAAATGCTATAGAAATGAAGGCAAATTTACATACAAGCATGCATGCGAACATGGTCCAACACTTAAGCACAAAGAGGGGACTTTTAAGCACACTTAAAAGGAGATGATCATGGACCAATGACAAGCATGTCAAACTCTGAAAATCATGTTAAGGATGGTGCCAAACCAACTAAACAAAGCAATCAAAGCATGCAACCAAAGTCCAAAGCTCAAAGCTATCCTAAGGGATCAAACCATGGCTATGCAAGGTGAGTCCCAAAGGGTCAAGGGGACTCAAAACAGTCCCAATATAGGTCGAGACAAAGCCCAAAACACACTTAGATGGCATTTAAATGGCCTATACATGGAAGCATACATAATGGTCCAAACATGGAGCATAAAACATAAACCTTTTGAAGCATCAAAGGAGTATCAAATGCAAGCATGCAAGCATACCATATGGACTGAAATGACATAATAAGTGATGCCAAACCACTGAAATGATGCAAGGAGAGCATGCTAGAGAGGCCAACACTCAAGGCCTATAAAGGGGATTGTATGGTAGCTATACAAAGCAAATCATGGACGACCCAAATAACCAAAGTCAAACCTTAAGCACACTAAAACATATGCATAAAAGCTTCACAAAGCTAAGCCAAAATCATGCTAAAAAACAAGGCTCAAAGCACAAAGCATGTTAAAGCAATTTCATGGCATTACAAGACAAGTATGCAAAGCATGCATGGTGTGTCTAAATCAACTTGAAACAGTGCTATATCATGACAAAATAAGCACAAATAAAAAACTAAGACATGACCAACATGAACTTAAGAAAGGTGCTCACACATGAGGCTAAAATGACAAGTTTTGAAGACAACAGGAGAGGGGATGGCCCTCTCCTTCTTAGGACCTCAAAACACCACCCCCACCACTGAAATCCCTCTGGATTTCAGTGGTGAGGAGGCCAATACAAGATGGTCCCGGAGCTCACCAA